GTAACGTAACGTAACGTTAACGGAAACGTAACGTTAACGTAACGTAACGTAACGTAACGTAAGAACGTAAGTAACGAACGAAGAAGTAAGAGAGAAGAGAGAGAGAGAGAGAGAGAGAGAGAGAGAGAGAGAGAGAGAGAGAGCTCTGAGCAGAGATGGAGGGACGAGCATAGAGAAAACCAATCATGGAGATCTAGATCATAAGATTTTATTGATAATAATTAGAAACATTACAATTACAACTGAAGAGAATCACTAATTACAAACTGAGATCTATTAACTCCATGTTTCGCTAAGAAATCAGCAGCATGATTATCTTCCATATAAAAAAAATGGAAATCAACCCCACAGCCTATCCAAACATATCTGAGTGACTAGGGAGGCCTCTAGTTCTTCTTGTACTAATTTATCATAATCAGGGAATCCCCTTTCACAATACACCATACACCTAAAGATCTCTCCTTCAGCACCTTTAAACCAAACAACAAGGTAGACAATTCCGTCTTATTGGCTGTACAGTGACCACAATGATCGAAAAAACAACAAAGAACAACACCATCAGAATTACGAAAGGCACATCCAATACCAACCGGCCCAGGATTTCCAAAAGAGCTACCATTGAAGTTCAATTTGATACACCTTCTAGCTGGTGGGATCAATCTTCCCACTTGTGAAATAGTTCTGGATGATTGCCATATTACATTTACAAAATTCACCACAACATCCACCTTTGAAACACCATCACCCTCTTTTGTTACTGAAAATCACAACCAAGTAGTGTGCAAAATCTTAATCCTTAACTTGTTGTATATTTGCGATCCTACCTTCAAAAGTCCTCTTATTTCGCTCAAGCCAAACTTCCCCAGCAATGCAGCTCTCATAACATCCCATAAGACCTTCCCTTTCTTTGGCACACCTGCAAAAGCTAGTTGTTCCACAAGGTTCATCTGGCATTGCGGTAAAAGCATAGCAACACTACATATTTGAAAAGCCCACCTCCAAATGGAACATGTAAATTCACAGTGAAAAAACAAGTGGTCACCATAGTCTTCATCCTTTTTGCATAACAAACAAATATTTACCAAAATCTTCTCTTGCTTCTTAAGATTATCCACAGTTAGACATCTACCTTGCAACATAATCCACACAAAGTCTTTGACCTTCTGAGGAATATGTTATTTCCAAATCTTGCTGAGGTTTTTATTGTTTGATGAATACGAATATGAAAAGAAAGTCTACATGCAGATTTTAAAAAAGAATACCCCATCATTTTCGATTTCCCATATTACCTCATCCTCACCTTCTCTAGCAATGTAAGTGTGGTTGAGTTCCTCTAAAAATTCTATCAGATGCAAAATTATGGAATCAAGAATTCTACTATAAATACAACTTAAATTGCAAACTACGCTTGCCTCTTTTCTATCATAAACCTTGCACACCTAATATCAGGATTTGAAATTTTAGAGAATAATTGAGGAAATCTAATTTTCAGTGGCCTATCACCAATCCATTTATTTGACCAAAACTTAATCCTTTCACCATTCTTCACAACCCAACGACTATTGTTTACCACAAAAGTTATGAAGTTAAAAAAAACGGATATATCTGTAATAACAAAAACTAAAAAGTATTTTTGTAATAATAGTACATATAACATATATATACATAATTTTTCCTAAAATAAAATATAAAAAGAATTTTAAAAAGGGAAATTTACCAAAACTCATAAAAAGTAGACTTTTTAGACAACCCTCCAATCACGTTTAAGTTTTTTGTTTTTTTCACAATTTTTATCCTAAAATGAATTTTTGTAGTAAATACCCCCAAGTAAAAAAGGCATATTTTTTTACGAAAATACCATTTCCCATACAGAAGAAATTAAGTTGGGCTAAACATGGTGTGGACTCAAGAACATAGTGCTGGACTGAGAGAAAAAAGTGTTGGACCTATGTGAAGACAACCTTAGGCCAATATTGTCGGACCGGGACATGGTTATGTTGGACTGCGTGAACATGTTGTCAAATCTTGTGGTCCATGTGCTGGACAACAGGCAAATCACGTCGACCTATCAGATTGAGAAAAGAACATGTCAAACCGATATAATACAATCCGACGCACCTTTAACATTTGTCGGACCCGAAATATGCAAGAATCAAAATGTGCCGGACTGCATGTATAATATGCCAAACCCAATATTTTTCTAGAACCCCTATCGTCGGACCGTCTTTAAGAATTGTTGGACCCCTTAGTTTTTTATAAACAATTAGTGTCGTACCGCCTTTATTAAGTGCCAAGACTCTTCTTTTTTTTTTCTAGCTTTTTTTACTAGAGAGAGAGAGACGTTTTAAATAAAGGGCTAAAGGTAGGGTATTTTGGTTTTTTTTGAGGTATTTGCTAGAAAAACATGTTTTGAGATGAAAGTTGCTAAAAAGAAGTTTGGCCAAGGGGACGCTGTTTAGAAAGTCCAAGATGGGTATCTCCAATTTTCCTAAAAATTTAGCACTTGTTAGAAAATAAATTTGAAAATATTTTAATATTGGAGAACCTTATTGGGAAAATATTCCAACAGTGCATTTTGTATAGAGCCTAGGCTCTAAATAATCAAATTAAATGTTAAGAAATATGGTTTCAATACTAAAAATCATTGTTATCGCCTTAAAATATATTTTTATTTTTATTTATAAAGTTTAAAGCTTAAAAAATAGTGTAGATCGACAAATCTATAAAAACTTGAAAATCTTGAAAATTGACAGTCCAAAAATGTGTTACAAAATGCACTATTTTCAAAACTTGAAATCCATTTGTTTCTCATATCTATGTATCTTAATGTCGAGATGCATAATTTGAGAATATTGGACATCAAAACAACCTCTTCAAAGTTTTATGGTAAGTTCCAATTTGATCGTTTAGAGCCTCGGCTCTATATTTTTTCCCACTAGTGAAAGTTTCATTTTAAATAGGAGATCCACTTACGAACTCTTGGGGACTAAAATATTCGAGAGAGCAAAACCCTATTCACGACCCATTTATAACCCACACCAGGAGAGAGAATTAAGTGGTCCACTAGCATTCGAGCGAGAAATACATATAGTGGGAGTTGGGATACCAGCCACTTTGGTGATTTTACTTTGATTTATGGTTATTTATTTATCATTTTTGCAATAATATATATTTGTTTTCTGAATATTTGAGATGCCCATAATCACAAAGCTTTTCTCTTTGGAAGAAGTTTCTCTCCATAATAACAACAAGGACTGTTGGGTTATCATAGATAACAAGGTATGCAAATCCATTTCCTTTTCAATATACTTAAATTACTTATTTTTTCCTTTTTAATACATATTCATGGAGTCTATTCTTTATGATTTTCTTCAACCCCGTTCCTCTTTTTGGACTAACTTTTCCTGAATTGGGTTGCTCTCATTTCCTTATTTCTATCCTCTAATGCATTGGCTTTTGAAAGTCAATTCTTTTTCCTTGGAGTTATTTATTCTTTATGAGTAACATATGGTCTGAATTCTGAAAACAAAAAACTCATTTAATGGGTTCCTTTTATTTCCTTATCGATGTACTATTATGGAGTTCATTCTGTAACACACACACTCTCTCTCTTTGCCAATAAGTTTTATTGTGGGTCTGAACCTTCTGTGGAAAGTTGACAATTTTGTTATTAATTAATGAAATGCGAGATTTTGCTTTATTTCTTTGGTATTTTTGGCTGAATGGGCCTAATGCCTTTCCCTGCGTGTCTCTTTTTTTTTATCTGTTTTTTAATCATTTCATGGCATGTTACTGTTACTTAGGTTATGCACTTTCGATATTTATTAAATTTTTATGTAGTTTTTTCTGCATTTCATGTTAATGTTCCTTCACCTGGATTATGTTCCATGATTCTGTATTTATTCCCTTGCTTGAGTGTTAATACATTTTGACATGTTCTTTCATCCATGCTTATTGTAAGTTTTGGAGATGTATCTGTGGTGAATGCTGCTTTTTCTTCTTTACATCCTCACCTTTTAAGCACCCTGTTCTGTTTTATACGTGATATATTCTGTTTATCATGACTAAAAATGAATTCTAGGTTTTCTTCATGCCTTTTTTTTTTTTTCCTTTTTTGACGAAGGTCAACCTATATACTAAATTATTAATTAACAATTTGGAAAATGGGTAATACCGGACACAAAAATCTGTATATCATTGGTTATGTGGCCTATGAGAATCTGTACCCAAACTCTCTCTTGTAGTTGTGTATGAACTGTGAACTGAAATAAAACATTCAAATAAAGTGACCTGGCCAAAATTTTGTGGCATGCCCTAAGAGTCCTAAAGGGTTATAGAAAACCTTAATCTAGCCTATACTCTCTTAAGTCCAGATCTTAAAAAGGTATTTCCTATGGAGCTTCCCGACTCCGAGAATTCAGTAGGGCCAATAGGATCAGAGTGTGCGGTCAGGTAATCGGGTATAGGGTGGATCAGATCCTAAGGGGTTTGCCTTAGGCAAAGTCAAATAGGTCTTCCTGGCTGTTCTATGATTATTTTCATTCATTATTGCTTGGTTTATAATAATTTCGAGGAACATTATTTGTATTAGACTTCAAAGTTAAAGTTTAAATTCAGGCCTTGGATTGAGTTATTTTTATTTGGCTGTCAAAGGAAAGATCTTAGGTTGTATTTAGGGTTGTTTTTCTTATTTGCAGTATTGGTTTGTGAAACCTGTAAATGGAATTCATTTATATTAATAAAAGAAAAGCACAATTTTTTATTTTATTCCCTAGAATTCTGCATAGCCACTTCTTTTAGTATTTTTCCTTGCTTATTATCGTCTAAGTTGTAATAAGTGTTAAAATCCCCTTAAGGTCTTGATGTTGCAATAAAGGTGTGAGAGAGCTTCTAGACATCTAGAGAGCACCCCTAGGATTAGAGTAGGTAGTGTATGTGGCGTAATTGGTAGTTATAAGACTTTTGGTATGTAGGAGCTGGGCATTGCTTCCCTTATTAAAGAAGAAAATATAAATAACTCCACACTTTATAGTGTTGAACTTTTTATGTTCTTGAATAAATGTTGGGATAGGAATTGAAGTGCTATGGATTGTTTTAAATTAAGTATCTCAAGGCACTCACCAAGTTTCCTTGGGCAATTCCAAGTTTTTGTGCAGCTTCTTATTGAGTCATACTTTTTTTGTATATCTTTTTTTTATTAAAAAATTCCGATTACCATGTACATCCATATTGTCTCGGTTCTGGACCAGGCTGAGCTGAGCCCAAGTTTTAAAACAATTGGTTAAAGATGATCTTGATTGTGATTTTTATAAATTTTCACATTGTTTTCATGCAAATCTTGAAACAGGTGTATGATGTGACAAGTTATTTAGATGATCATCCAGGAGGAGATGATGTGCTCCTTGCTGTAACTGGTAGTTTGATTTACCCTTCCATCATTTTATTACTTTTGAGCACGTGTCAATGCATAAAATAATTAGTTTCCTATGCTTGGGTTGCACAAAAATTTGGGAGAATTTGAAGGGAAAAGCAAACATAGATACATATCACAATACAAAACACAATAACAAAAAGCAAGCAAAATGAATGTTGAAGGAAAATTTGATATAAAAAACTACATGTGCTTGCTTTTTTACCTCTAAGCAACTTAATATACAATACATTTATCCTTGCAACTGATTGTCACTTATCAAAAAAACAATGGTGTTCAGACTTCAGACTTCAGGGTTCATGTCCTCAAGGCCACAGCACACAGATCAGTTACTAAATTTGCAAGATGTTGGTGCACTGATCACTGGTATATTTATTCAGACCAGAAGACATAGATGTGGCTAAGTTGGTGGTGCCAAATTAGTGCATTAAACAGCAGGGCTAGGTGCATGGCTCCTAGGACCCCCGAGCCGCCTATTGCCGACTCATGTCTGTGCCAACTTAATATTACACTATATCACTTCTTGACTTACTTAAACCCATTGATACTAAGGTTTTGATGCTATTGTCCTACAATCAACACACTTGTTCATGCCTTTTGAGTTACAGTGCCTCATAACTTGAGATCTTTGTGCACACAAACACACAAATTTTGGAGTGGAATGGACAATCCAAATCATCTCTATCCTGACTACGGATAACATATTTCCCGTAATTTGAATAAGGTATTGAGGTAAAATTTGTTATCAATTGGTGTCATGTGATGTGCAACTAGGGTGCTGTGTATGGGTAGGAGGATGGGCCGTGCATCATATATAAGCACTGTATATGGTCCAATATAAGAAGACAAATTGTTTAGATATACATGTCTTTCAGTGATACGGTTCAACATCTTCGATTGAGCCTGTGGGAGAATCAACAGATAGCTCATGACTATAATGAATAATACTTGATATTGATTTGTTGATCCTCTAATCCCTGTCACTGGAACTTCTTATGTGTAAGATCTGGATGTTGTTGGATTCACGAGAAGGGGTCTAATGACAATAGGTTTATGTTCTGAATGGTTTAAGATTCCCTAAGATAGAAGCGGGATTTAACAATTCTGGGGTGTGGCTAAGAGCTTTTAATCAATCCATGAAAACAAAAAAGATTTTGTGGTTGTTAGATTGGTTGATTAAAATTTTAGAGATTTGATTTGTGTCATGAGAAGTCATTGTGTGGCTACTAACATGTCAAAGGGAGCCTCTTTTTATATGATATTGGTTGATTTCCTTGCAATGTTCTATTTGTATCTTCCACAAGATAGGCTTTAGAAGTTAAAAAGGCATGATTAATGGAGATTATCGTTTTCAAGAAGAGAGATCTAATACTTGTGCAAAAATCTTTGGGAAAAAGTTGGATTTCATTCAACTGGATGAACGTTAGTATTGAGTATTTTATATTTATGGTTTCTAAGTACAGTTAGATCTTCCCATTGAATGGAATGAGGAGGCTTGGGAAGAGAGCCATCAGTGTAATCGTAGGGAGTTAAAGTTGTAAATGGGATGAAGAATTTGTCATTTACTTATATTTATGCATGCCTTCAAGTTTCCCGTCAATCTTTGGTGTAAGTCCAAAGACATTTTATGCAAGCAGGGGACAATTATGAAGAAAAGCTGGTAAACAACTAGAGAAGAAAACAGAAAATTAGAAATATTAAGTTCATTAAGAGAAAAAGAGAACAGAGGAGAAGGTATAACCTAGATTGGAGGAGATTGAAGCAAGGGGACATGACAGACAAAGAAAGGTAGAAAGATAAAAGAAGGTGTATCAAGATTCAAGAGATATAGAGTGAAATGAGGGTGAATACACACATGCTGAAGAAAGGCAGAGGGAGTAAAGAACTTGAATTTTGTGAACATATTCACGAGGATGGGGGTGATGAGCTGTTCTAAGAAAGCTCGTTGCTCTGTTTGGGTGTTAGTGGGGTGGTGTATGTGGGAATGGAAACCACAACATGGTGACTAGGGTGTGGGGGTGCTACCATCACAACCCCAGCCCCTTTCTCTTGCTCATTGCTCTGTTAGCGTGAAAAAAATGGGGCAAGAGTGATGCAATTGCAAGAATGCATTCACTGTTATTTCTTGTGGTGAAAATGGGTAGCAAGGTTGCTCCTATACAAATAAATATAAAGATTACCCTTTCTATAGAAAAATTAGGAACAATAACCCAAATAATGGGTAAAAGTGGTAACAGAAAAGGCAAAAAGAATTGTATGAAAAGGAATCTCCTAGTACTATGTTCCTTGGATGATCATCCACTACACCTGAACAGGCCTCACCAATACCTTGATCATGACTGTTATCTAGCCATGGATTGGAATTCCACTAGCTTGAATCCAAAGTCTCCAATCTAATCCAAAGTGCAGGAGGCTCTTGCATACCTGGCTCCAGGACGTGGTTTGCTTCCCTTTGCTAGTGCAGCCATAAGAGTTAAGGAGCCACCTCTCAGGGTATTCATGCTACAGGAATTTCATTTTTCAGAAGAATCTGACCACTTTTACCCACTGATGTCAAGTGAAAGAGTGCTTTAGAAAGAAGCATTTGCTACTATGCTTAGTGTCTGCTGCACCAACAGCGGTATTTTTCACTAGGTTTTAGCCTGGCAGATCCTACAGATTCCTTTTGCTGTGATATTCCTTTCACTTTATCTTTTTGTTTATTATTGTTTCTGTCTTTGTGCGAAACTGCGAATCGCTCTATTTTATCATGGTAAGGGTAATCTTTCTATTTATATGTACTAGGGCTAATCCTGTCAATAACCTATTGATGCAATAGTGAATATTGATTAATAAAACCTCAAAAAATGTTCCTTGAGTTTCTCACGTTCTTTTATGATATCAGAACAAAAAGCTGCCTTGGGACACCTCTTCTCCCCCATCCTCTGAATCCCACTTTACTGACAAATTATCTTTTGAATTGAGGTCGAATCCTACCTTAGAGATTGGCACATTCATGATCAACATCTGTTTAACAGATCGAACCTATATTACCCCACGTTCGGCATACTTTCGATGGAGAAACATTTATGACTCGTCTTGTGCAAATTTGTAAGGAATTCAAGAATGTTCGACATGGGATCAGTTTATCTGAAATTATCTCATAAACATCAAGCTCGAGTTGATTAATTTGCTGCCATGCAAACAACTATATCAGACAAAGTTGAATTTCTTTATGTTTATTGGCTTTTAACATCTGTGCTTCAGTAATTTCTTGACTTTGTATTTTGTTAAATCACTTTCCTATTAAATTAAAATGTAATCTATCATGGTCCAACTGATATGCATTTTATGTTTTAGTTGTTTGGGATTAGATAATTCCAAAGACAGTGTGATAGGACCAAGATCATAGACATCAATTTGGTCAAGGATGTGGCACTAGTATGCTTTCTTTGCACATGAAATTGTTTATTAGGTGCCTTACAAATCATTTTGATTGCTTACTAATCTGCACTCTTAGTGCTGCATATGTAAGGGATCTAAACATGGGTTGCAATATTATAACGCGCAAAAATCAAGAGCAGATTTTCTTTTATTTTTCTTTTTAAATTTTATGAGGAAAAATCTATTGGTTGCAGGACCACCCCCCTTAGTTTCAATAGTCTTGTGAGTAGTTGAGAGGAGAAAGTGCTGTCAATGATTTGGCATTATCAACTTAATCATTTGATTTTATTTTTTTAAATAAACTTGATTCATAGCAATTATTGTTTTTTACTGCTTTTTGTAGAGAAAGATAGAATTCTTTGCATGTTGTTTGCGAAGAGGAAATAAATCTTGAAAACCTATTTATTAATAATAAAAATTACATCCATGATTCTAGAGTGACAAAAAAAAAAGGACTTCTATCCATGATTTTGCATTCTAATGTTTGGGGACCAGCAAGCATGCCTTATGTCTTCTCATTCATATGGTGTCTGTTCTTGACTAACCGTGATTGCTGTTGTTGAATTATCTGGGATGTACAGCTACGATAGTTTTTATCTGTCTAAACTATGTAACAGCCTGACGCTTTCGAATCTTGCACCCTAGTCTAGTTGCATCTTGTCTCTAATGCCTGCTTTTGAGACTCTCACGAACATATTCTGGTTAATTTGGTTGCATATCTTTATGTTGTTATATATTACTCAGATGAGTATTTTATGCTTCATATACTTGCAAACGTATAAAAGGGGATCAACCCATTGCCATCTGTTAATTACATTACCTTGGTATCAGAACTTTTGACCAGGAAGGTACAGAAAACTTTTGGGTTTTGGCAGACCTTATACTTTAATTTGCATGTTTGCATGTGTGGGTCACTTATAGAGGGTTGAAATCATGCCCAACTGAACATATGGGCCACATCAGTGCTCCAAAGAAGTTTCATTAAGAAGAATTTTCAGTTAATCAAAACTTCCCTTTGCTGAAACGACATTAGAAATTGTTTCTTGCAAGTATAAGGTTTCTAGTGCTTTTTACTGGTTGTGACGTTATGGAGTGACAAGGTCCTTATTCATGCTTCAGAAAGGGCAAAATACCTGCTGGATTTGGTTTGACATTTTCGTGGAATAATTTGGAGTGAGCAATTGAATGCCATTATGTAATGCTTTTGGCCATATAAAGTTTTTCTATCCTAGGAAATAAAATACTGTAGATGCATGTGCCTATGATGGAACACAGGTCTTGCACTTCAAACATATCTAACAATCCAAGGTCTGGTGCTTTTGTTCGCAATTTCGTGTGATTGGTATTTGCAAATTTCTTTCCTGCGCTATTATCTATTTCTACTTTACGGTTCCCTGGACCTTTATGGGATACCTTGATTTAACAATATTACAACCGTTCTTAGCTTTTATCTGGAAAGCTACTGCTAGTTTTGTATCCCCTGTTGTTGCCTTCTGGAGTGTCATTTTTGTCTGGAACATTGTCCGAGGAGGTCAGCATTATTCTGTTTTTTCCCTCATCTTCCTTGTCAAGTATATAAATTTGGGAAAGTTATTAAATTACAACTAACATGTGAACTATTTAACATATTACCCTAGGTGTATTTTAATAATTTGAAAACCATTTTGATGTGTCATTTGATGGGCAACTTGAAATTTGATATAAAAGATTGATGGGTAATTTGAAATTAGATATGCGTAAGCTGTTAAATAGTTCAAATCATAGGTGTGGTTTGATAAATTTCTCTATAAATTTCGCACTCTAGATTTACTGAGCTTTTTTAATCCGTTCCTATTCCTAGGCACTATTGGTGGTCAATATACTGCTACTGGTTCAAAGATTTTATTATCTGAGTTGGTTGTTCTATCCATGCATTAATTTCTGTTTTCTTATGACCATTATATTCCACATATACCCTAGATTTAATATGTTTTGAGTGATATTACTCTAAACTTAATTATTATACGATAGTTGATTGTTTAGTATTGCTCCTTTGTTCATGATATTGTATCACTTGGGTTCCCTGCGGAGAAACTTGGTAGGAAAGGCATCAGAGTTGGAATTCTCGTCTATCTTTGCTATTTTTTCAACCTACATGTGATGTACATGTTCTTGTCACTAAGTAGTGGAGTTTGAACAGTGTTTGTCATAGGTAATGATAAGGTCCTTGGCCAGTTCACAAAGGACCCTATGGATATGCTTAAGGAATTCTATAGTCAAGAGTAGGAGGATAATTGAAGTACAGGTGAATGTCATCACCATCATGTCTAAGAGGATAAGATCGATGGCTCTGAATAATTTTAGGCCTATAAGCTTGTTTAAGGGTAATACAAAAGGAAACATATTCAAGGAGCACAGTGAAGTTTCTTACAGAACTGTCATAGCAGCCCGCCCTCAGATGTCAAGCAAGGACAGTTGGGGTGTGTGGAGTGTCTGGTCCTGAAGCTTTACCTTCTATATTACCTGGAACAACATCTGTGCTCCTTTGTACAACACACTGTTCCTGCGCTACTATTAGCACTCTTTTGGAATTGGACAATTGTTGAGGGCTGGTTTAGTACTTGTCATTTGAGTTCCCGCCGATGGCGATTAAGTTTCTGTTTAAATTCGGATGATTCAATGGGCTTGAGGGATCAACGTACTATCGAATTTATGGGTTGGCTCTACCAATCGAGAAGAGAGATCTTGGCTGGATTTTTTGTGGATCAATAGGAGTGCCAAATGTGAGCACTGAGTAGGGAACAAATGGGGGAGCTAGCTCTTGTGTTGCACTTCCCTGTTCTGTATTTTTATGGAGAATCTGATGCCTCCTTTTCCAGCGAGGATAACCTCACTCGTATTGGCATATTTTTCCCGTGTTCTTTCTGGTTTCTTCCTGAGAATTGTCCGTGAACCCTTGTTTTATATCTTCATAGTTTCTAACCAAGGATGCGATATCAGCTTTTGCTCACTGCGATGGCTTTTGCCATCCTTTTGTAATGACCCTAAATTTTTGAAAAAAATAATAATATATATATATATATAAAAGTAAAAATAAAATAATAAATAATAATAATAACAATAATAATAGTGATTATAATAATAATAATAAAATACTAATAAATAAATAAATAAATCTATATAAAAGAATAGATGATGCTCCATTGGGTTATAAAACACCATGGGACCATCATTCTCATTTACATGTTTTTTCATCAAAAGATTTATAATTAAGAAAAAATATAAAATGACGTTGCAATCATTAGAATGAGGTGTCTCATGATGGCATGAGGTGGCAATCATTAGAATGAAGTGTCTCATGATAGCATGAGGTGACAATCATTAGAATGAGGTATCCCATGGTGGCATAAGGTAGCTCTTATTTAAATAAGAAAAATGACACATGGATGCCATGTGCAAGTATAGATTGAATCCTACACATATAAATACCCCATTGGCCCGTAAACTAAACTATCAATTGGTGACTCTCTCTCCTCTCAAATAGGAAATTCTCTCTCTACATAAGTTCTCTTCCCTCTCTCATTTTAATTATTCTCTCTGTCCCTCATTATACTCTCATGATGATATTATAATTTTAATTATTCTCATTTCAATTATTCTCTCTCCCTCATCATACTCTCAAGATTATAATTTTAATTATTCTCATTTCAATTATTCTCTCTCCCTCATCATACTGTCATGATGATATTTTAATTTTAATTATTCTCATTTCAATTATTTTCTCTCTCCCTCATCATACTCTCATGATGATATTATAATATTAATAATAGTCTCGTTATCATACTCTCATAATGATATGATGATTTTAGTAATTTTCTCATCATCATCCTATCATCATGAGAGTATGATGAGGGAGAGAGAGAATAATTAAAATGAGAGAGGGAAGAGAACTTATGTAGAGAGAGAATTTCCCATTTGAGATGAGAGAGTCATCAATTGATGGTTTAGTTTATGGGCCAAGGGGTTTTTATAGGTGTAGGATTCAATCTATACTCGACACATGGCATCCATGTGTCATTTTTCTTATTTAAGTAAGAGCTACCTTATGCCACCATGGAACATCTCATTCTAATGATTGCCACCTCATGCCATCATGAGACACCTCATTCTAATGATTGCCACCTCATGCCATCATGAGACACCTCATTCTAATGATTGCCACCTCATTTTATATTTTTCCTTAATTATAAATCTTTTGATGTGTAAATGAGAATGATGGTCCCAAGGTGTTTTATAACCCAATGGATCATCATTTATTCTTTTATATAGATTTATTTATTAGTATTTTATTATTATAATCACTATTGTTATTTTATTTCATATATATATATATATTTTTTTTTCAAAAATTTAGGGTCATTACACCTTTTCTTCAGATGTATCTCAATGTGATGATTTTCTCTCCCCTTCAAATTCGCTAACCCTCTAGCTTTTCCTCTTCCTCCTTCCCTGCTGTGACATCTGAAGTTGCAAACCAGAACTTGCTTTCTTCTTTGGCTGTAGAGGAAGAATCAGGAGTTGGCCGAGCTTTGGGTTTTTCATGAATTATGTGGGAATTACCCTCCATTATTTCTCTGGCTTACTGATTTTGCACCACAGCTTGTGGGGTCTGTTTATTCTTTCCTCTTATGACTTTTCATGCGTTTCTAACTCATACCTGAATCTCCACGCTGGACCAAGGGCCTGAAACTCTTCCTGTATTCAACTCTTCATATAAAAAATTTCCTCCAGGGCCTGTGTCTAACTTCAGATCGTTCAACAAATTGGCATCTGAAACTCGAGCTAGTTCTTACTGAAGTCTTGAGTTTTGTGGTGCTGTCCATAGCCACAGGTTTTCCAAAGGAAGAGGCAATCTACCCCAGGGATTTTTCTGGCCAGTAGTAGACCAATTTTTTTTAAAATCTGACGCAAACTGGTATCTTTGAAAGTGGGGTTTTAGGAAGGTTACCTCAGACCAGGCTTCGACAATCATATGTTTGCTTCGAGTCCTCCTCTTAGGATCTTCCCCTTATCCTCTTCGAGCTGAAATCTGAAGTTTATATGCCTGTTGCATTTGGGAATGATTTGTTAATTCCCCTCAAATCTTCCATATTTCTCCGATTCTTGGAATTGCCTCTTCTGGTCTTGAACCAGCAAAGAAACTCCGAGGCAGTTCATGCACTTTGTCTTTGTTGGGTGTAATAACTAGCCTGTCGTCCATTAGCTTTACGGGATGGAAAGTCCTCATTGAAGTGTAGGGGGCGGTGTGTGTGCCAGCTACCTCAGAGAATGGTCGCCTCTGTTCCCATGGTAAATATGGAGGTTTGGGGTGAAGACTCATTGAAAGTTTTGAAACATGGCTGTCGTCTGCTGTGTTGGGTGATAAAGTGTGTTGAGCACTGCTAGTGTGAGAATGCTGATTAAGAAGGGCAAGAAGGCCGTGGAGGTGCTAAGAGGGGGATGGGAGGGGGAGGGTGTGGGAAGAGGAGAGAGGATGGTGGGGAAGAATTCGTCTCCCACAAGCTCCATTTTCAGGAATGTATTATTTGTAGCATGAAATTGTATCTCATGTCTCATGTGAATATAAAGGCAGTACCCTCTATATCTGTAATTGTCAAGGAAGAGGGCATTTTGGAGGACGAACAAATCTTGTATCGGGTGCTGTTGGCTTATGAGTCAGTATAGTCTAGGTAGAGAGCCAAGATGACTTATATAAAGTTGATATATATTGAAAATTTTCAAAGTATATGCTTTAGAATTCAGTGAGATAGAATTCAGTGAGATGAATCTCGAAAGTGAGGCCTGGTTTCCCTCTCTTTTCAAACCATGCGAAGTAATCTATGAATAGGTGACCTCAGAAGCTCAAGAGGTGTATCAGGAAGATATTCTGTTTCTTCTTTGCTATCATTGTGGAATCTCTATGTTGAGGACCTTGTAGTCATTGAACCCACCATGCTTGAAGTGGAATAATAAGCCTTCTTGTTTATTATTATTCTTTGTTTTTTTTGGTTGTTCGGAGGAGGTAAGAATCGGAGTTGGGACATATTGCTGCAATCATCAATAAATAATCAGTCAAGCCCAAGCTAAGAACAGGTTATGTCAGCTTGTATGCGCATTTGATGTCCCTCTGCATCTCAGATTCCTGAAAGTGGTAGGACGGCCTGTTTCCCGACAAAATTCAATGGTTTGAGCTCTTGACCTCCCTTACCCTCACCCAAATTTAGATGTCTACCACTAGGCCGAACCCTAAGGGACAAGAAGGTTGACACTTGTTTATTATGTTATTTTTATGTGGGATCTGAACATCAGTACTAAATGATAATGATAACGTCTAGACGAATTCTCTCCATAAAGGTGGGAAGTAGTCTGCTGAGCTTTCATCTTGTCCATGTTTGAACGTCATAGGACATTGTTAATGTTTTGTAATGAGATATTCATGTGATTAATATCTGATTTGACTTCTTATTTTGTTAAATTTGAAAGTAACCAACCGTTAACAGTTAAAAAAGAAACTTTGAAACTAACTTTTGAGCGTCAGGAAAAGATGCGAAGGAGGAGTTTGAAGATGCTGGTCACAGTGCAGACGCCCGAAAGCTCATGGATGAGTACTTCATTGGAGAAGTAGACCTCTCTGAAACTCTAGCTGATCTCAACCCCACTGTGAAATTAGAGCCTTCAAATTTGGCTCAGGAGTTCATGAACAAGGCCTCTCAGTACTGGTTCCTCCCTGTGGTGGTCGCTGGAGTTGCAGTAACTGTAGGCCTACTTCATTTGAGGAAAAAATCATAGTGATTCACCAATGTTTTTTGTTCACTGATATGTTGCAGTACAAGGCACATTCATATACATATTTTTATTTTGAAATTGAGTACCCATTACATGCTGAAATTTTTTTTTTCAGCATGTTTTTTGTTCACTTAACATTTTGAAGTAATATACCCCCCTATCCAACCTTCTCTTCAACCCTGCCGCACCCCCTAACTTTTTTTTTTATATGTTAATGGCGGGAATGGAAGGCAGGACGTTATGTTGAGGCATCTGCCCCCTAACCAATGATGCCCCAAGCCCATTCCCAGTAATCCCCCACTCTCTCTCTCTGTTTACATGTAAGGAGAAGGCCTGCTTTATTTGAGGAAAAAATCACAGGAATTAACGAATTTTCAATTGCTGGTGCAATACATTCCATGAAATTAATATGTTCTTTTTCTCAAATCAAGTATCTATTACATGCTGAAGAATCAGAAGTAAAAATCCCTCTCTCTCTCTCTCTC